AATGGGTCACCCAATATCATTATTATTATTACCGCAGTATAATGGGGAAGTATCAAAAAAAAAATGTTCAGACATTTTCAAACGTCATTTCCATGAGGCGGTTCTGAACGATTTGAAAATTTAGTGGATGTTTTCATTATTCGATCCTCTCTACCGTTGGAATGAATGGCTTGCATACGTTTGTTTGTCTTTGCTAATTGTGGTATGCTGATGGTCTTGAATGTCGTCGGAATCATAAAATTTTCAACAATTGCTTTCTGGTTCCAATTCGGCGGCATATCCAACACTCATAATTGCAGCATATCAGTGTTGTGAGTGTTCCTGCATCGATAATGAATTCAAATCAAATAACTGCACTTCATGCAACGACAAGCGGCGTCAGTATCGAGACCAACAGCAGCATAACTCTGGCAAATTTCTCTCTGTCGGACTGTAAACTCGCTAAACAAATCTCCACAAGTCCTTTTATACAGGTTCGTTTGCACTAATTATTCTTAGTTGCTTTGCTAAACTTTGATAAAATACTCCAATCGAATCACATTCAATAGTTTGAGAGTGTTGGAAGAGTTGTTACAAGATAACGAGGAAATAAATTTGAAATAGTATTCAATTCAGCAACGTATAACTTGTGAAATCAAATGTTTCTTCGACTATCATTCGCTTTCAGACTCTACGCCTTCTGCAAATCGTGTCTAGTGTGAGTGGCTTAGTTTTGAGCACATTGTTCATATATACGCTGAAATCGAAGAATGCGAATCATTTGCACATAAATGTGCGATTATCGTTGATAAGTCTCACTGTCGGAGCGATTTTCGCTTGCTCACAAGTCCTTATTTTGGCTGGTTATGGGTAAGTTTATGATGTTCTTTTGCAAGATAATCAGTTGATAATTGTAACAATTTGAGCAGAAATTAGCGCGATCGAGATTTCAGTTTGTTTGTCACTCTGATATGGAACAGCAACAGTGATAATGTTGACGATGAATGGACTGATGCTTGCTCGTTTATGATCGAATCGTATCATTGCGGTCTTGTTCGATCTCCAATTTTATTTGCTATTTACGCGACCATACTTGGAAGTATCGTTCTGGCTGCTGAGAGAACCATTGCAACCATACACTTTCAAACTTACGAACTTCATGGCTCTGTTTTTGTCGGAATATCACTAGTGATTTTGCAGGTTATCATTTTCATTTACTAATAGCGATATTATTATTATTGGATTGATATTATTTACTATTCGCATCGTACTTAAAAGAGAGTATTATCATCATGATCAGCAGATTTACTGTTAGGATACTTTCATGATCAGTGTGCCATTTTGACTGTTCTCATT